ACACACACACACACACACACACACACACACACACAGACTTACGGTCTACTACTACTCTCTTCATGGGAACTTTGCACTGACGTGCATTAATTTCTAAAGCCTAATCCTGTCCCCTTACCCTAAAACTAACCCCCGACTCATCAATGGGATTTCCCCTCATGGAYACATCCWACAACTWGTACACAAGTAGGTTGTAGTCCCCTCATAGTAGGGAATACCCACCTACACACCRGCACACACAAACACTACCTATGTGTGCATGTGTGGCAAACACTTTTTTGTACCCCACAACTTATTCAGAAGCATATCTTACTCACGTTTCATTTAATCCATAGTTTTCCTGCAGAAACATCATTTTTGATCCACCAGAGAAGAATGACAAATTCAGGACATATTTATATCTATTTTACATATTTAAATGGTGTCATGTCAGGTGAGATGCTCTAAGCTCAGTTCCACTTTTTGTTGGGATGTTTGAATGAAAGGAGATAAATTTGATATTTAAATATTTCTGCGCAAACACACATTTCCAATTTCATTTGAATGACAAATTTCTGTATTAAAGCTGTACACTCTTTGATACATGAGGCCCTAGATATTTTTTTAGACACTTTGACGATGACTCATGAATGAGTGATGTGACAGTTTGAAGACGGTTGAATATTGTTGCTTTGTTGCCATGAATCAAAGTAAAACACACTTACATTTCCTCAGACCTTGCGTCAACCACTGGACTCCAGCAGGCTCCACTCTGAAAAGAGGAAGGTGTTCAGACCATCAGTCTCAACATGGACATTGCATGGCTCTCAAACACACATTGTTCTACAGTCAGAAAAAACCAGTCCAACACTTGAATGGAGCATTTCTAAAGTCCTGTCGTGTGGTTGTTACCTTCCAGCACAGTTTGAATTCATTCTTTTGATTTCACTTTATCATTTGTTTCTGTTCGAACAGAGTTGCTTTAGAAAGAAAAGGAAAAAGTGCTCCTAATGGCAAANGTGACCACATAGTTGTGAGGCTGACAGACAGTTAAAACACTTAAACGAAACTTAAAATGCATGTGAGTTGTCCAAGTCTAATTGAGAAGATAACTTTATCAGATCAGCAGATTAATTCAGAACAACTCATGWATGATAGATAATTCCTCAGGTCAATAAGGGGCAGATAATGACATTTGTTCATAAATAACTGTGTAAAGTTGCATGTAATAGCAGAACAATGTCAGCTGTGGCACTGCTGAATAACATCTCCACAAGGGAAACATGGAGGCAGCATGTTTTTGGGAATTACACCAACAAAGTTTTAATAGAATATTTCACAGACGTTTTGAGACACACCAGCTGAATGGGACATCATCCGTATGATATCCAGATTTATCAGATTCATCCACACCGCAGATATGAAACACTGATGATGAGCAGTGACTTGTTTCTTGATATCAACTATTTAATAAATATGTCTCTAAGTTCCACCAAACCTCTGAGATCGTCTATATTTACATTTGTTGTGTTGTTAAGCACATGGTAAATGGTAAACGGACTGTACTTGTATGGTGCCTTTCTACCCAACCAGGGTACTCAAAGCACTTTCCACTATAATCTATGTCCTCATTTACCCATTCACAAAGCACTCTACTAGATCTCATACAAAGCTAACATGTACAATCATGTATGGAGACTAATCAGTACCAATCACATTCATACACTGAGAGGGGTGAAAGTATTTTGCCCAAGGACACAACAACTGAGACAGCTGGAATGGGGGATTGAACCGGTGACCTTCCGGTTCCAGGACAACTCCCCTAACCACTCTGCCACAGCCGCCCTGCATGCAGAAAGTTGGAAATTTTTCAGCCTCAGAAGTGCAGTATTGGCAGATCTGAGCCCCAGCTATCTTTCTGGGAACATTTCATTGATGTCCATTAATTTCTACAGCCTAAACCTGACCCCTTATCCCAAACCTAACCCCATCAATGCCCCCCAGGTCCCCCATAAGTACCAGCTGGTCCCCACAAGTAGGAGTGTATGCCAAAAATCGTCCCCACATGGTAGGGAATAACACACACACACACACACACACACACACTGATGGCATTAAACCACAGCCACAGCTGCCCTGGGGCACACTGACAGAGGCGGGGCTGCCATGCACCGGCGCCACCGGATCCTCTGACCACCATCAATAGGCAGGGTGGGTGAAGTGTCTTGCCCAAGGACACAACGACTGAAACAGCTGGACGGGGTATCGAATGGGAAACCTTCCGATTCCAGATCGACTCCCCTAACCACTCCACAACACTTCATATCCAGCATGAAACATGAGACTCTTACGGGGAGATTTGAACTGTGACCCCTGTTTGTGACAGTTGTCTTTTTGAAACCAGTCACTGTTTGGCTAACTAGCTTTAGCTCATATCTACTTTACAACATATTTTTTCTTTCTACTTTACAACTAACTCTTGCTTTCCACAGTTATGTAATGTCTGTTTCAACCCCGAAGTTGTAGTTTCAGATTTCTTTCTTACCCTTTTTTATTTACCACAGTGTCCAACAAAGACTCATCAGGAAGAGTAAGCATCAGGGCGGTCTGTTGCAGATCCATGTGAAAGCCTGTTAAGCCTCGTGAACTCAGAGTAGAGTGAAACAACAAGAAATATTGCTCGGTTCCACAAATACATGACTATATTTTGGGGTTCTCATGTCACTGATGTTTAGGTTAAGTAGAAAGTATTTCTAGCTGTTGAATAAAGTGATGGAGTTGCAGCATATCTAGCTTTAGCATTATCTAGAATGTGAACCACATTTAGTTTCTCATTGTTCTGTTTGTGAGTGTATTGTTCAGTGGCCAGTTTTGTTCTTCTCTTTGACAATTTTTTTCTTTGTTTCGTTTAAAGATTGAACACAGTTCAAACAGGTTCCTGTAAGAGTGATCACTTTTGTTTTCAGCCATTGCTGATGCTCTACATTATCAGCAGGGAAGCTATGAAAGCTAACATTTTTAAATTATAGCATGAAGAACATGAACATCAAGGTACACTATAGTGTAGTGATGATCTGCTCACTTGCTGAAAGCACAATCGCTTCCTGTGGACACTTGACATGTTCATTTTTTCCACCATTTCCTATCAAAACAATCCAACCTGAATGGCAGAGACGTTTACCCGGAAGTTCTCGACCTTACAACTTTAGACCGGAAGTTAGCAGAAGCCATATTGTGCACGTAGCCAATTCTGTCTCAATAGCTGAGGATCCAGACCGTCCGTAGAAGCAAAGTGTAGAACAAGTAGCCTTTTTTTGCCAGGCTACAGACACTGCAGTTTTTTTAGGGTAATTGTTACACTAAAATGGTTGACTTGCTGACTTTAGTCTGTAGTCAGCCAGAGCACAGTATAGATTTGGGTTAATTTAGACCTTGGATTTTGTGGGATCTGATTCAGTGTGATGACTTGAATCATTAACTCGGGTAAATCAGGAATCGACCAGCTATGAAACAGAAAGAAAGAGCTGAGTGAAGAACAGGAACAATATTTCCAGTTCTTCCTCCTCTATCAGACATTGTGTGTGTTTGCAGCAGCTCTCTTTATACCTGAGATTCTGCAGTCTCCATTCTGGATCCTTCAGTCCAGCTGACAGCAACTTCACTCCTGAGTCTCCTGGATGATTGTAGCTAATGTCCAACTCTCTCAGATGGGAGGGGTTGGACTTCAGGGCTGAGACCAGAGAAGCACAGCCTTCCTCTGTGATTAGACATCCTGACACCCTGCAGACACACACATACATGTCAGCCTCTACAGATTGTCCGGGCCTTTTATAACTTGAACATACAGACAATGATTTTTCAAAAAGTCTGCTTCAAACTGAATTTATGTCTAATGGTCTGGTTTTCATAAAACATTGTTTCATGATCATAATAGATACACACAAAAACATGGAACAAACAAAGAATTGAATGTCTGATTGTATATTCTTTTTCACTTGAAAAGAAAGGAACATATTTTCTGGATTGTGCTGTGAATATCTACATTTCAACATAATATTTATGTATGTATATTCATGTATGAATATTTAGGTATGTATCCTTGCTGGAAAGTGTCGCAGAGGAGAGAAATTTCTGGGTTTCCATCCCTGTTGCCTCTGTGACCTGACTACAGATAAGCAGAAGAAGATGGAGGTTTATGTTGTAAATAAATGTGTCAAATAATAGAACTAAGGACTTGTGCATTTCATGGATTTCTTAAAATCACTATGTACAGGTGGATGTCCAAAGATGTTGGAATAGATGCACACACCACACATGATATTCTGAAAAAAAAAGATCCGAAACCAAAGTTGACCGGGATCAAATGTTCACAGTCACAAATTATTATTGTTTTGAGTTTGTTTTTCAAGTATGTATCTGGAGCATTCCTGACGGGGAATCCCTCATTCTTCTGGGGGACTTCAACAATCGTGGGCAATAAGAGTGAGACCTGGAGGGGAGTGGTTGGGAGGAACCCCTGATTTGAACCTAAGTGATGTTTTGTTATTGGACTTCTGTGCTCATCATGAATTGTCCATATCGAACACAATATTCAAGCATAAGGGTGTCCATATGTGCTCTTGGCACCGGGACATCCTAGGCAGCAGTTCGATGATTGACTTTGTTGTCGTTTCATCTGCTAGTGGGCACTGGCAGTGAGGGATGCTGTCAGGCTGAAGAAGGAGACCTATCAGGTCTTTTTGGCCTGTGAGACTCCAGAGACAGCAAATGGTGTCAGCAGTCCAAGAGGATTGCAGCTCGGGTGGTCACTGAGGCAAAAACACAGGCATGGGTAGAGTTCGGAGAGGCCATGGAAGTAGACTTCCGTAGGGGTTTGAGGCGATTCTGGAACACCATCCAGCATCTCAGGGGGAAGTGGTTTGCCACCAACACTGTTTATGGTGGAGATGGTGCCCTACTGACCTCAACTCGGAACGTTGTGGGTCAGTGGGCAGAATACTTCGAAGACCACCTCAATCCCAACAAATGTCTTCCAATGAGGAAGCAGAGACTGGGGACCCTGGGTTGTATTCTCCAATCTCTGGTGTTGAGGTCACCGAGATGGTTAAAAAGCTTCTCGGTGGCAGGGCACCGGGGATGGATGAGATTTGACTGGAGTTCCTTAAGGTTCTGGATGTTGTGGGGTTGCGTAGGCTGACACAACTCTACAATATTGCGTGGGAATTTAAAAAGAATAAAAAACAAAAAAAAACTCAAAAAAAAACTCTAGAATTTAAAAAACGCTACGGTGATCCGACAGTTTTAAAATGTTCCTAAGTTTATAAAGACCTCAGCATTTTTAGTCTTCGTGGGAGAAGGGGTTATCTGCGGAATCAAAGTGGGTATGTCATAAGAGTGGGCATGTCAAAACCATTAACACTGTGGGCTACGAGGCCTACATGACGGTATCCTTAGATCCTGCTTGATGTCTTTACAGCCTGACCCTGACCCCAACACTAAGGTTAACCAGGAGAAATGAGACCCAAGTAGGGTTCTACAGAAAAAGTAGTGCCGTACAGTAACGCCCCTTTTGTTCTTGTCCAATGAGGTGGTGCCGTACGGTATTGCCC